ATTAACAACAAATTTGCATCCCTTGCACCCTATCTTTTGTTATTCTAATATTAATCTCCACTGGGCCGGGTTTGCCTCCTATTACATGGAGGAGTGCTACATGTGTACCAATGTACATTCATAGCATCCCTTCTCACCCCATGACAACCTGATACAGTGGTCCCTTGGGTTACATACACTTCAGGTTACATACGCTTCAGGTTACAGACTCTGCTAACCCAGAAATAGTACCTCAGGTTAAGAACTTTGCTTCGGGATAAGAACAGAAATTGTGCTCCGGCGGCGTGGCAGCAGAGGGAGGCCCCATTAGCTAAAGTGGTGCTTCAGGTTAAGAACAGTTTCAGGTTAAGAACGGACCTCTGGAACGAATTAAGTACTTAACCTGAGGTACCACTGTATACAGATAGTGGGGGACGTCTGGTTGTAGTGCATGTCACGGTAAGGGCTAACCTAGAACTACTCACATATTATTTCAAATTGTATTCACTTTGCATTTAACGGTGAACCTACCCAGTCAGAACTTTTCTAACCCCAATTAGCCAACCCAAAATGCAGCTAACCTTCAAAATCCACACTTCCCTGAATTTTGGAATGCAGTTCTCTAGCCAGACAATCTGTTCAGACATGCATATACTAGGATAAAGTCTTTCTTAAAATGCATATATTGTTAGAAACAACACACCAAAATGCCTTAAATTAGAGAAGGTTGCTTTGCAAAAATGTTGCATACAAAAAGTTGCATGCAAAATGGCTTATTTGGAGAAATTCACACTAAAATGCTGGTTCATTTTCATGAACGCATTTTTTAAAAAGCAAAGTGATGTGGAAGTGTGAAGAACTGGACTTAAGATTGGAAAAAAGAGAAACTGAGAGAAACCAAGATGGACAGATACACCTGGGCCTAATATTAATCTGCCTGGGAGAATGGGCTATTTTAGCACCAAAACAGCAAAAGTTCTAAATCCCCACTGCACAAAGTATCGCTTTAATGAGGTTTCAGTTCCTGGTTCCCTGCTATTACTACTAACTCAGACAACCTGTGTTAGCTCCATTTCATTAATTCTTTGGGGGGGGGGATAACTACTGATGTCATACAGAAAGGAGTCTGTCAAAATCTAGGAATGTGTTGAAAGGAACCCGCAAAACCTGTGCCAGGTTCTGCTTTGGGCAAAATGCAGATGGCAGCTCTATTCTCAATAGTCAGATGCCATGGAAAACTAGATGGTTAAAGCTGAAATTCCATGTTCTTTATTTCGTTTCTTCGCATTGCCAGTGGTGACCCATCTCCCCATATCAATGGATGGCCTTGCTTTTTGGACATAGCAGATAAAGGACGTTTACTTCATGTGCCCCTGTGAAGTGTGTGCCTCAGCCGAGTTTTGTGTTTCATTTTTAATGGGAAATGATTGTGTGGTTAGACAGCGTCCTGTTTTTCTGCCAAAAGCACACCCCAGATAGCAGCAAAAGGGCACATAAGGTTAAGTACAGATAAGCGTAGAGATACAGTTCAGCTTGCTGAAGTTTGAAGTCATCAGCAAGTATAACTAATCTTCAGTAAAGTCATCTCCCAGGCACAGCGAAACGCAACATTACTTTCCACTATAAACTACACTGAAAAGTAGCTATTAGGTATAAATACTTTCACTTACTGAATTGTTGATGCCTGCCCTTCGTAAATCACAACATTGCTAAATCTCTCCTAAGGTGAACTGTATATAAAGGGGTTTATTGTTTCAGCAATCTGCTGATGACACATTTCTTAGCCAGTCCTAGGTTAGAATCCTTCAAGAGTGGTGGTTGTGCATTCAGCTCCAACTAGTTCTTGTTAACATAGACATTTTTTCAGATCAAGCTGCCAGTCTGGGTGTCAAAGATCTATAAACCCCTCTATGACTGTGAATTTGGAGAAATGAAAAGATTTATGATGAAATGAGCTCAAGATACAAGTGACATACTGTACACAAGTAAATACATTGGCATGTGAGTGAATGTTTTTCTTTAAATATGGATGTAAGGGCAAACTTACATCCATATACAACAAAAAGATCATTATAGTCTTACAATTATAGCCCAAACAGAAAGGGATGTCTTCCAAAATTTTGGCAAAAAAGTCCTGGATAAGAGTTAAGAAAATTGTAATGGGGGGGGGGAGGTGAACCATAGGATATAATGTCCTATACAAACAATGCAATCCTATGCATGTCACCCTAGAAATAAGTTTATGAGTTCAATGGGATTTACTTCCAGATAAATTGCAACCTGCATGTACTAACCTAATCCATTCTAGCTGCAAATTTAAAAAGCAGTTATGCATGAATGTTGTTGTTGTTGTTTAGTCGTTTAGTCGTGTCCGACTCTTCGTGACCCCATGGACCAGAGCACACCAGGCACTCCTGTCTTCCACTGCCTCCCGCAGTTTGGTCAAACTCATGTTGGTAGCTTCGAGAACACTATCCAACCATCTTGTCCTCTGTCATCCCCTTCTCCTTGTGCCCTCAATCTTTCCCAACATCAGGGTCTTTTCCAGGGAGTCTTCTCTTCTCATGAGGTAGCCAAAGTATTGGAGCCTCAGCTTCAGGATCTGTCCTTCCAGTGAGCACTCAGGGCTGATTTCCTTCAGAATGGATCGGTTTGATCTTCTTGCAGTCCATGGGACTCTCAAGAGTCTCATCCAGCACCATAATTCAAAAGCATCAATTCTTCGGCGATCAGCCTTCTTTATGGTGCAGCTCTCACTTCCATACATTACTACTGGGAAAACCATAGCTTTGACTATACGGACCTTTGTCGGCATGAATAGGTGCCCCCAAATCTGGGTAGAGATGCACTTTTCAATGCATCCCATTGTAAGCAATTCAAGGTAGATAGTTAGAATCATCCACAGTCTGACCTGAATTTGAATGTGAATTTAGATGTGCACATTAGATTTATGTCCAAAATTCCTCCTGGAACAGCAGGTCTGTAGATAACGACAGATAAATGGGGGAATGAGTTTATGGATCAAGCTCTCTGTGCAGCAAGGATGAGAAGACTGTACAAATTCACCTTAATGGCTGGAATTAACTGTTTACAAGGATGGTTTGCAGGAAGCCTGAAAATCCAAGGCAGCCAGGTGTCAGTGAGATGTTGTTTGTCTACAACTCCAACCAGTCCCAGGCAGTCGGGATGTACTGGCTAGGACTGATGGGCACCAGGTTGGGAAAGACTGAACTAAATTCTCCATTGGGCATTCTTTTATCTGCTTTTGATCATCTCTTTATTAAGATTAAGCTACCTTGTTTGCAGAAATAATTATGAGTTAAATCCTGGGTGTGATTCATTGTGCTGGATGGCAGAGCCATTCATTTTAAGTTTGCCAGCCAGCATTTGATAGTTATTAATATGTACATACATGAACAATAAATTACTGGCTGCGTGCCACAACTCGCTCACAACCAGAACACTGCTTTTTATATTTTTACAAAGATGATACAATTGCCGCATTGTGTATATCAGCGTATCAATGTGAATTTCCCCCATCAATAAACAAATTTGACTAATGTATTATTTTTATTTTTGCAATTTTCAGAGATATAATTCATTTTTATGTTATTTTCATCAGTATTTTCCAACTCTACAATTCTATGATCTTCTTTTTTTTTATGCACTTCTCCCCAATAATTGTGATTTTGTACACGTGGTTTGGACAGACAACTGCACCGCAAAACTCAGATAAGTGCAAATAGCGACACATAGCTGTGTTTCAGTTTGCATATTGTTTCGGGCAGTTTGAATTTGCTAGATTTAGCTTTAACTGTATACTGAATGGAATTCCTTCTCCATCTCTATCCCCTGCTGATTCAGCCCTCCTTGCTGAGGACCTACTGCTTCTTCTGTTGCCATGCAGCGCATTTCCTCAGCCTTGGTGGCATGAAGCGAGTTAAACAGCTCAAGGCTGGTGGAAGCCTAACTTTTGTGGGTGTTATCAGTGTGGGGGAAGAAGTTCATTCAGTTTGCATTTTAATGAAAATCTACCTATAAGCAAGCCAAATCACAGCTATCTTTCCAAATGTTGTGATGCAATTCTCAGTGCAAAAACACATCTATATCTAATTTTATATTTGCTTGCATATTTGTGAACAAAAAAAGTTCACATGGGCACAAAAATGCATGCCAATGTTTACGGGGACATCTTAAAGAACAATTTGCAAGGGGCCAACAGAACTTGACAGATGTGTCCATTCCTAGTTCACTTCCTGATTCCTGATTTTTTTCTGCCAAACCTCTGCCCATAGCTCCAATCAGCTACGCATGCAGAGCAAATATCCATATTTTTATTTTTGAAATATTGGTGGATATTATATTATTTGATCTGCTTACTTGCTTACTTCACCAAACCTTTATTAGGCATTACAAATATAGGCCATCATACCTGCTGGAAATGTAAAGAGAAAGAAGGTACCTTTTATCATATGTGGTGGTTGTGTAAGGTAACTAAAACATTATGGGAAATGATATATAATGAATTGAAAAAAAAATGTTTAAAAGAACTTTTGTAAAAAAAAAAAACAACAACAACCCAGAAGCTTTCTTATTAGGAATTTTAGGTACCAACATCCCAAAAGAGAAGAAAAGACTTTTTATGTACGCAACAACAGCCGCACAGATGTTACTAGCCGAAAGATGGAAAGAAGAGAAAGTCCCTGCCAGAGAGGAATGGCAAATCAAGCTGTTGGAATATGCCAAAATGGCAAAACTGACTGGAAAGCTCAGAAACCAAGAAGACAAAAACTCTGAGAAATAATGGAAAAAAATTATAATTTGTTTAGGAGACCACTATAAGCAGATGAAAACATTAGCAGGATTTTAACAACACTTGTAATGTAACAAATACTGTGGACAATATGAAGAAATACATATACGGATTGCGGAATAATATGCAGGTAGGTAGCCGTGTTGGTCTACCGTAGTCGAAACAAACAAAACAATTCCTTCCAGTAGTACGTTAGAGACCAACTAAGTTTGTTCTTGGTATGAGCTTCCGTGTGCATGCACATGTATCTGAAGAAGTGTGCATGCATACGAAAGCTCATACCAAGAACAAACTTTGTTGGTCTCTAAGGTGCTACTGGAAGGATTTTATGTGAAATAATATGCAGTTGAAGATGTTGACAATAGGATCCACGGAGGAGAGGGTGGGAAGTCTCGAGATACAGAGAAATTTTTATTTATGGTTATGTATCTGGCTTTGTTATAACCTTTTGTTTACAAAATAAAATAAAATTTATTTCAAAAAAATACAACAAATATAGGCCATCATAAAACATTCATATATTAAATTTTAAAATATATACAAATAAACAGCCATGTAAAAATATATAATAACGAGGATTTTCATTGGAGTTTCTTCCCACTAAATAGTGCTATTCACCACTCTTAAGAGATCCTATTGATAAAAACTCAGCCACCTTTGCACTTACTATATTATTTGATAACTGAACCATCAAGTAGCACCTCAACTGTATGAAAGAGCTGGGCAGAATTTCCATGCTGCTTCCCCGCCCTCAAAAGAAAAACCCCAATTATTTATATTGCAGTCACTTCACAGATTCAGGTAAGGTTTGGTTGACCCATGATAGATTCATCACTTCCCAGCAAAAGTCAAGGACAATTTAGGTTACAATCCTTTTTTAAAAAATATTTTTATTAAATAATTTTAACATCACAAATTATCCAACCGTATAATCACATACATTATTCCCCCCCCCTTTTCCCACCCCCCTTCCATCCCTCCCTCCCACCCCCCTCCCACCAGGGACTTCCCTCAGCTCTTCTCTCTGATTTCTATACACATATTGTTCTCTGCATGTTATAAAGTTATACATATCCTTACCTTATCTATCTATCATGTTATCAACCAATAAATTTGTGTATGTTTATTCAAAACCTGCCAAGGAGTCCAGTTCATTTTGTTGTCTTTTTAGATAATTTGTAAAAAGCTCCCATTCTTCCTTGAAATCACAGTTGTCCTTGTCCCGCAGTTTGTGTGTCAGTTTAGCCATCTCTGCAGTTTAGGTTACAATCCTAACCCCATTTACTAGGGTGGGGCAGTGAGCCTCAATGAATAAGACCTACTTTAGAGTAGGCATGGTCAGAATGGCAGCGTAATGAACCATCCCATATAAACTAAGATAAGCCCCATTTGGGTGTGCTGCTTGCATGTAAATTCTACAAAGGAGCAGGAGAAGAAGGGACAAGTTTCCATGAAGTCTGAAGTGGGAGGGATCTTCTGCTAATGTAGGCTCTTCCAAATTGTTTAGACCAATGGAAAACTGGGTGCTAAATTGCACAGGGAGTAATTGCACAAGGCAATTCATCAAGTGATGAACATGCATGCATAAATGAGCCTTTTGTCACAACTGCGATGGAGAAGCCCCACAAACTCAACTGGAAAGTCCCAGTCATAATAAGACGTTGTATTATTACTGAAGCGTTAACTGGACTACTACAGATAAAGAAAGAAATCTGGAACCACAGGGGTACGTGGCATGGTTTTAAGAAGCAACAACAAAGCAACTTTATTGACTACAGCAATTTAATGACATATTTGTGTGTTGTTCAGCTATTAAAACAGGACCTGCTCTCTCAGTCATTGATAGGGATTGGTATCTAATCGGCTTTGTGTCGTATCCTCGTCCAGCTTGTACTTCCTAAGCAAGAAGATATAGGAGGTGGCACTTCCTGATTTAAACGCTTCCGTCCATTAAGAGAGAAAGAGATTAACATGGAAATGCTTTTTAGTTACTCTGGAATTCCTCAGTTCGTGGCACTGAGGCCTTATGATTTATTTTTCCTAGCTCCCATTGTCAGCGAAGTCAAAGACACCCTCCCAAATTCTGCAGTGACATTAAAGATAGCAGAGGCCTATGTGGTTCCTTTTAGAATGCAAAGGTCAGACACAGTGTTAAGGGGGCAGCCTGGGGTCAGAATAATACAGTAGGAATTGGTGGGAGGGCGGGATGCCGGGTGGGGGGACGGTTGCAGTTAGGTTAGCATATTGTCCTGGGGTTAAGAGCTTTCTCAAAGCCCTGATCCATCTTCATCCTTGTAATGAGGCTATTCTTACTTTCAAAGAAAGTGTTGCTACGAAACACATTGGCAAATTTGAGGCCCGCTTATTTAAGCTCTGGGACCATTGTTCTTGGTGGTGTAATTGGTGATCGAGAAAGCCATAAAATGGCCCTGCTATTAAAACGGCCTGAATTGAAAGTGAAAGGAGCGTATTTATACAGTGGTAGCTTCTCTGTAGAGGCAACTTTCACCCTCACGTGAACCAGACTTTATGGAAAGACCTGATGACATCGCTCTTGTTTAACCTCCTGGAGAACTGGGGTGCGGGGTGTGTGGGGAGGGAAGAAGGGGATGGGAAATCAAAACGGAATAGAATTAATGAGCCTTCCCATATTGTCCTGTTTCTTTTGTTGTGAAGAAGCTGGGTGAAAATGAAGTAGAAAGACAGAGGATAGAACAGAGCCTCCATTAATATCAGGTTATAAATTCTACAAAACATTAACTTCATTACATAGCAATTACTATCTGTAATTGGCAGAACGGAAGATTCTACTTTCTCATCAATTGCTTGTTGGATAGGACTCAGCAATTTCCTCCCCTACTGGCAAAGGTCATGTTACTGATGGAGAGAAGATCTTAGTGCAATGGAAGAATACAGCAGTTTTACTTTTCTTAAATTGCAACTGAATAATGGTGGGGCGTGGCAGGGGGGCTGGCTGATTGGTTATAAAGAACCTCTAATTGCATCTAACTGCCATGGGTACCTTTAAGATGGGGGGAACAATATGGGGAAATTTAAAGACTGTGGAGGCACCTGCAGGTTTGCGTGTTCAGACCCAGAGACCTCCCCCCTAAATAAATTCACACTTGACTCAAATTTTAGTTTGGTTTTTGGCAGAATTTAGGCCACAACTTTATTGATTACAGAAAACTGAGTGGTTGCATAGGCTCTGGTTCGACTAGCTCCCTGCACCCTTGCAGGTAGCACTGACCCAGAGCTCTATCATAGGTCAACCAAGGGTGAACACCTGAGGCAGGTGAAAAGCCCAGGAACAGACTCTGTTCACTCCCCAGATGCTTCCCTGGACTCAGGCATGGGCACAACTCCCTTTCGGGGGTTGACCAAACCAAGTTGAGTCCCTGGATTTCTTTAACGGAATACCCTTCACATAGGGATGGCGAGACCATTCTCCCATTCCTATCACATGAGCCAGTGCCTATCCACAACCTTACAAGTTGTGATGATTTGCTACGTGGCAGGCGAAACCCAAATGACAACAGCCAATCAGCCAAGAGGATCCGACACTGTGTGTCCTGGCTCTTCCAGAACAGTGTGATTTAAACTCGCTGTTTTCTATTTGGCCAGTCTTTATTTTGCTGCTTCCCCAAACCTGGTGACTTCTGACTCCCATCAACCCCAGCCATCATGACCAATGGTCAAGGATGATGGGAAAGCTGGACTTTGTAGTAGACATGGATGGATGGACTGTATGCAGTAGACAAGTGGCATCACTCAGAATTTCACTTTACCAGATGACTTTTTGAGGCTAACAGGAAGGCTTCAAATCAGCCTGTACTACAGAGAAAGATCAAGTAACTTGGAGCATGTCCTACATTCTGGGTGTCTTATATCCTTGCTTCTTAAGAAAGAGATATTTCATCCATTTTGAATTCTGCAGATCATTGGTACCATCTTTAATGGACAATACTATAACAGATTATTTAACTGCATTTATTTATTTAATGTATTTAATACAGCAGTTAATAATGTATTTATTTACCTGCGAGGAAAAAAATGCCGCAGGAAAAGGAAAAGGAAAACCCTCCTCTATTTGGATTCCTTTAATTCCCACAGCTAATTTTGCACTGCTGATAAAGACTAGCAAGATTAAATGCATTGACAAATGAAGTTTCCCGGGACAAACATGCTGGCGATGGGAGTTGTACACCCATAATTTCATCTACATGAGTTTGTAAAATGACAAATTTGTACATTATTACTTCTGCATCAGTAGAGCTTTTAGTCGATCATCTAAAGCTGTTTCTGGCTTAATGACATGTGACAATCTGCAGCACTGTATTTAATAGATGTTTTTTACATTTCAAGAATATTTTTCGGTTGTGACGCTTAAACCTGTTTTGTGCATTTTCATATCCTGAGTATGGAGTATCATTTAACTGCCATCCACTCATCATAGTCCCAGAGCCGTCCCCATCCCAGCTTTTAAATAAACTCATCCTGTTGTCTGCCCTAAACAGGCTTTTAAACAAACTAATGGTGCCCAAAGGGACGCAGGTGGCACTGTTGGTTAAACCATAGAGCCTAAGACTTGCCGATCAGAAGGTTGGCGGTTCGGATCCCCGCGACGGGGTGAGCTCCCGTTGCTCGGTCCCTGCTCCTGTCAACCTAGCAGCTCGAAAGCACGTCAAAGTGCAAGTAGATAAATAGGTACCGCTCTGGCGGGAAGGTAAACGGCGTTTCCGTGTGCTCTGGATCGCCAGAAGCGGCTTAGTCATGCTGGCCACATGACCCGGAAGCTGTACGCCGGCTCCCTTGGCCAATAAAGCAAGATGAGCGCCGCAACCCCAGAGTCGGTCACGACTGGACCTAATGGTCAGGGGTCCCTTTACCTTTACCTAATGTTGCCCAAAGAGGGGACAAAACATGGTTTTGGATGTCTCATCCATACAGTAATATTGCTACCAAAAAGAAAAAGATACACGCAAACACACACACACTGCAAAGCCTTAGTTAACCGAGTTCTTCATTTTAAACGAGACAGTTTCTTATTTGTGCGGTTTGTAATACAAGTCCCCTTTAACATGAACATTTTTGTAACCTAGGCAATAACACGTGTGATTAAAATTCTTGTTATTTTAATGAGGAAAACATTCCTACAATGTGCTGGGTAAAGCAGGAGCCAGCTAGTTGCATGCAGGAATTCCCCCAATGGAAGTTTGCTTGTTGTTGATTTTTCTACACAAAATACTGTCAAATACAGAGACAAGTTAATTATGGAGCAGAGACAGCGTGAGACCACAGAGAAATGGCTATTACAGCTCTTGTAATTGCTGTTGTATCCACAGGTTTTTAAACCATGCCTGCCCTCAGCAACTTTATAGGCCTCCTTTGGGATAAGACACACCTAAAAACACACACACACCAGGTGGGGGAATCTTCCTTCTTTCGTGTTACAAAAGTCTGTCTTTCTGATTTCCGCTCCACCCCAAAGAAAGCCAATGAAAATCAAGTTAATTTGCCTTATTTGTTATTATTGAAGCATGCTTCTAGATAGCGTGAAATGGGGAATGAAGTGCTTAACAGCAAATTTTGTTTTTAAGTTTGAAATAATTAATGATAGCAGTATAAATCTCTAAAATGTTTCAAAACATCAGGAGAAACTTTCTGACAGTAAGAGCTGTTAGACCATGGGTAGGCAAACTAAGGTCCAGGACCCGGATGCGGCCCAATTGCCTTCTAAATCCGGCCTGAGGATGGTCCGGGAATCAGTGTGTTTTTACATGAGTAGAATGTGTGCTTCTATTTAAAATGCATCTCTGGGTTATTTGTGGGGCATAGGAATTTGTTCATCCCCACCCCCAAAAAAACCAAACAAACTATAATCACTTTTTTTTCTTGCCAGGCCAGGTTCTTCTCTGGACTTCCTCAGGTTGGTTCCTCAGCAGGTTTTGGGGCTTCAGTGTGCCCTGCAGTGCATCTTGCAGGCGGCACCTCTTCCACAGCTTCGGGGGTGGGATGGGGGCCCTCTCCCCAGCAGCAGAGGCCTCAGCACTGCTCCGCAGCCAGCTGGGTGAGCTCTGGGCTGCTGGCAAGGCTTCTGTTCATATCTAGAGGAAAGTTCCTAAGTCAAAGCACCTACTGAAGGTCTTAACTGGGATTGTACGTGGCTCCTGTCAACCTAGCAGTCAAAGTGCAAGTAGATAAATAGGTACCACTCCAGCGGGAATGTAAACGGCATTTCCATGCGTTGCTCTGGTTCGCCAGAAGCGGCTTAGTCATGCTGGCCACATGACCCGGAAGCTTTACTCTGGCTCCCTCGGCCAATAAAGCGAGATGAGCGCCGCAACCCCAGAGTCGGTCATGACTGGACCTAATGGTCAAGGGTCCCTTTACCTTTACCTAGAGCCGTAGGTATGTTGAGGTTCCATTGTATGGGAGGGGCAGAAGGTTTCTGAGATTGCTATGGTGGCCATGGGGAAACATGATGGTGACCCCAATCGTATACAGTGCCCCAACCACTTTCAAGCTAGGATAGCTCAGTTGGTAGAGCCTGAGACTCTTAATCTCAGAGTTGTGGATTCAAGCCCCATGTTGGGCCAAAGAATGTAGCATTATGGGATGGGCGCCACCTGTATTCTCATAAATACCAGAGAACAGGGCCGTTGGCCTCAGTGTGAGTTGCAATGGCTTTCCAAATGGACACTCTTTGCTATAAATACTAAGAGTTGTGAGGATTAAAGGTTTTCTGATGAGGGCAGCGTTCTTCCAAAATACAGTGGTACCTCAGGTTACATACGCTTCAGGTTACAGACTCCGCTAACCCAGAAATAGTGCTTCAGATTAAGAACTTTGCTTCAGGATGAGAACAGAAATTGTGCTCCAGCGGTGCGGCAGCAGCAGGAGGCCCCTTTAGCTAAAGTGGTGCTTCAGGTTAAGAACAGTTTCAGGTTAAGAACGGACCTCTGGAACGAATTAAGTACTTAACCTGAGGTACCACTGTAGTGCAAACAGGAAAGGGGTGTCTGGTGCCATCACTCAGTAAACATCTAGGGGCATGAAATGCCATGCCAGCTGTTCAAAACTTATGAATATGGAAAAAGCAAAGTAAGTCACATGCAAACAAACAAATCTCCCCTTCCCCCATTAATCTCCTTTTCTGGGATGGATCTCGTCACTGTCATCACCCACTCCATCAATTGTTTTAATGAGTGCAAATTGTTCTCAGATAAAACCCAGTTTTTCTTTCTCCTAAACTAGTTTTGCATTTGCGGCAAAATTGGCAATCCTACTAGAAATAATGTGTGGGGCAAACCATCATAGAAATGTACACATGCTTGTAAATTCCAGGCTTTACTGTTGAAACAAACAGTAGTTAAGAAGTTAAATAAATTCTCTCTCTCTCTCTCTCTCTCTCTCTCTCTCTCTCTCTCTCTCTGTCATCATAGACACCTGCCAGGAGGAAGAGGCATGTGGAGGGAGCCCTGTTCTGTACCCCTTCAGATCCAAGATGGCACTTGATCAGAAAATGGGGGCAAAATATTCAGAAATATGGAATATACTATCGTTGAGTGATCCCTCTCTTCCTTTCCCATATGGTTCCCTACCATGACCTTAGAATCACAGAATCATAGAGTTGTGGAAGGGACCACAAGGGTCACCTGTTATTGTTTAGTCGTTTAGTCATGTCCGCCTCTTCGTGACCCCCATGGACCAGAGCACGCCAGGCATTCCTGTCTTCCACTGCCTCCCACAGTTTGGTCAGACTCATGTTTAGTATCTTCGAGAACACTGTCCAACCATCTCGTCCTCTGTTGTGCCCTTCTGCTTGTGCCCTCAATCTTTCCCAACATCAGGATCTTTTCCAGGGAGTCTTCTCTTCTCATGAGGTGGCCAAAGTATTGGAGCCTCAGCTTCAGGATCTGTCCTTCCAGTGAGCACTCAGGGCTGATTTCCTGAAGAATGGATCGGTTTGATCTTCTTGCAGTCCATGGGACTCTCAAGAGTCTCCTCCAGCACCATAATTCAAAGGCATCGATTCTTCGGCAATCAGCCTTCTTTATGGTCCAGCTCTTACTTCCATACATCACTACTAGGAAAACCATAGCTTTAACTATACGGGCCTTTGTTGGCAAGGTGATGTCTCTGCTTTTTAAGATGCTGTCATCTAGTCCAGTCCAATTCCTGCAATGCAAGAATCTCTTGCCCAGTGTTAAGAGTCTCCTGGCTGAGCTACTTGCTTTCTTCTCCTTCCACCTCTTTGATTATTTTCATTGACTCATCATCACCATGACCCCAGGTTCCTACCTCCTCCTTCCTTTTATTTACAATTATGCTGAAGCTCCTCGCCCCCTGGTTTGTGTGTTTGTGCATGGCAACATCAATGGTTGCCATGTAGCAATGGTCACCGACTCAGGCTACTTTAAAGGGGGATTAGAAAAATTAGTGGGAGGCAGGGCCATCAATAGCTACTAGTCATGGGAGCTGTCTGCTACCTGCAGTATCAGAGGTGGCATGCCTCTGAAGACCAGTGGCTGGAGAACATGGAGAACATTTCTATTGCACACTCTCCCAAAGGCCTTTTGTTGGTCACTGTGGAAACCGGAAGCGAGAGCAGATGGACATTTGGCCTGATCCAGTGAGGTGCTTCTTAGGCTCTTATGTCCTCCCTTCCCCGACAAAGAAATAAAATGGCCACAGAATGATGCTGAATTATTTAGATTTAGAGATGAAGAAGTGCTTAAGAAGGCCCAAAAAACCTTGAGAGACTATTTTGAGATAAATATGAGCACCAATGTGGAAAAAAAAGTAATCTGGGACGCAAGCAAAGCGGTTATGAGAGGGTTCTTGATACAACAGAATGCATTAAAGAAGAGAATCCAAAATGAGAAGAAGGATAAAATATTGGAGAAAATAAAGGATAGTGAAAAAAGATTGAGAATAAAACCAAAGTCTCAAGAGATTTTGAGAGAAATAAAGTTATATCAAGTGCAATATATGAAAATGATGAATCAGGAGATAGAATGGAAAATTAAACAAATGAGACAAAAGACATTCGAGTCGGCTAATAAATGTGGGAAATTGTTGGCTTGGCAAATGAAAAAAGACAAAAATTAAATACAGTTACAAATTTAGAAGTGGAAGGAAGGAATATACAGAACCCAGCTGAGATTAGAAATTGTTTCCAGAGGTACTTTAAACAACTATATACACAAGGGCCATTGAAAGAAATTGATGTAGATCGATTTTTGAAAACAAATGGATTACAAAAAAATCTCCCAAGAAAATAAACTAATGTTGAACTATAAAATAACTGAACAGGAGATAGAAGGTGCCATTCAAAACATGCAATTGGGTAAATCTCCAGGACCGGATGGACTGACTTCTAGATATTACAGATCCTTGAAAGAATGGCTAGTGCAACCTTTGAAAGAGGTCTGTAATGAAATAATGGAGGGGAAAAGGGCACCAGAGTCGTGGAAAGAAGCTTATATTACACTTGTACCGAAAATAGAGACTGAAAAGACGCAGCTTAAGAACTACCGCCCCATATCATTACTTAATGTGGATTACAAAATTTTTGCAGACATTTTGGCTAAGAGACTGAAAAAAGTGTTGATGGAAGAGATTCATAAAGACCAAGCGGGCTTTCTCCCGGGAAGACACTTGTCTGACAATTTGAGGAATATAACTGATATTTTTGAAAAACTAGAAGTGAACATAAATACTAAAGCAGTTTTGATATTTGTGGATGTGGAGAAAGCTTTTGACAATATTTCTTGGAGTTTTATGAAGAAGAACTTACAGGGTATGGGGGTAGGCCAAGGCTTTGAAAACGGTATAAGTGCAATTTATTCAGAACAAAAGGCTAAACTAATTGTAAATAATGTGGTGACGGAAGAATTTAAGATAGAAAAAGGGACACGACAAGGTTGCCCAATTTCCCCACTGCTTTTATATCGGTCCTGGAGGTTTTGCTGAACATGATTAGAAGGGACCAGTTGGTTAAAGGTATACAGGTCGGAGCCAAACAGTACAAATTGAGAGCATTTGCAGATGACTTAGTACTGACGTTACAGGAGCCAAAAGGGTTTTAGAACTGATTCAAGAATTTGGTCAAGTTGCAGGGTTTATATTGAATAAGTTAAAAACTAAGGTTTTAGAGAAAAATTTAACACCAATGGAGAGAGAGCGGTTTCAGAATGAGACAGGTTTAACAGTGGTTAAGAAAGTTAAATACCTGGGGATTAACATGACAGCAAAAAATGGGAATTTATTTAAAGATAACTATGAAAAATGTTGGGCTGAAGTGAAAAAAGATTTAGAAATTTGGTCAAACTTGAAGCTTTCACTGCTGGGCCATATTGCTGCGGTTAAAATGAATGTATTGCCTAGAATGTTGTTTTTGTTTCAAACATTGCAAATTGTGGACAAAATGGACTGTTTCAAGAGGTGGCAGAGAGATATTTCTAGATTTGTCTGGCAGGGCAAGAAGCCCAGAATAAAATTTAAAATATTAACAGATGCAAAGGAAAGAGGTGGATTTGCCCTGCCAGACCTTAAACTTTATTATGAATCAGCAGCTTTTTGCTGGTTGAAAGAATGGCTGCTTCTTGAAAACACTGACATTTTGGATTTAGAGGGTTTTAACAATGTATTTGGATGGCATGCATATCTGTGGTATGATAAGGTCAAAGCACATAAAGCATTTAAAAACCTTATTGTCAGGAAAGCATTGTTTAATGTCTGGATAAGATATAAGGATTTATTGGAAAATAAAACACCAAGGTGGCTGTCACCGATGGAAGCGAAAGCTCTGAAAAAGCTCAATATGGAGGTCAAATGGCCGAAATATTGGGAAATTTTGGAACAAGATGGAGATAGATTGAAACTGCAGAGTTTTGAAAAACTAAAATACAAAGTGTGAGACTGGCTTCATTATTATCAGATAATGGAGGCATACAATTTGGACAAGAAAATCGGCTTCCAGGTGGAAAAATCAAAATTAGAAACAGAATTGTTAGAACCCAAAACTAAGATTTTGTCAAAGATGTATAACTTTCACCTTTGGTGGACGTGCCCAAGGATTTAGGTTTTTTGGGAGATGATTTACAATGAATTAAAAAAGGTATTTAAATATACCTTCTTGAAGAAACCAGAGGCCTTCCTCCTGGGCATAGTCGGCCAATCGGTGTTAAAGAAGGATAGAACTTTCTTTATGTATGCTACGACAGCAGCAAGAATACTTATTGCAAAGCATTGGAAGGCACAAGATCTACCCACACTGGAGGAATGGCAGATGAAAATGATGGACTACATGGAATTGGCGGAAAGATCCAGCTAATTTGGTGGTGGACGAACTGATGGTCAGTCCAATGAGAGTGGAGCACCATTGCTGCTGCAGTTGCCCTCACATCTCTGATATTATTATTGTTGTTGTTGTTGTTGTTGTTGTTGTTGTTGTTATTTACAGTGGTACCTCAGGTTAAGTACTTAATTGGTTCCGGAGGTCCTTACTTAACCTGAAACTGTTCTTAACCTGAAGCACCACTTTAGCTAATGGGGCCTCCTGCTGCCGCCGCACCACTGGAGCCTGATTTC